CGGACTCCCACCAATCCCTAGCTCGATCTCGTAAACACCCCGCTGCGAACCTCACCTTTGACCCTTCAGGGCAGAAGCTAATCATCTGTGCAGACTCAACGTCGGCAATCCATCGTCTAGCAACTATGGGGTCTTTCGCCCCGTGAAAATCCGACGCACCACTGCCCCTGAAGTCCTTGAAGGACAGTGTGCGAGATCCTGATTGGCTAGATGCCATATCACTCCTGAATGCCCGAAGGCGATCTTCCATCAACTCAATTATCCCTTCCTTGATCGACCCGAAGATAATGGGGGTTGACTCAAGGATACCCCTGGTGATCTCTGACGCGATGAACTCGCGTAGTCCCTCATCCACTGGCTCGGAATCTAATCCTGAACCTGACCCCTCTCCTGAACCGCCATGTATCGGCCTCGATCGTAGTACCACCATTCTGCAATACATAAGTAACAATCGTTAGTGATACTGAGACTTCTTGAGGGATCACAACTACCAAAAGTTCCCTGGTCTTATCTTGGCCTTCCTTGGTTCGGGTACGGATCCTCTGCTTTCAGTAGTACGGGCCCATACTACCTTCCACATCTATCCGTACCTTTTTCAAGGACTGCCTCGACTCCACCAAGTCCCTTTCACTACCACTGAGCACTGTTATACTCATCCTAGGCTTGCCCTAGGGAAATCTCTAATTCTTCCCTATCCAGTCCTCAGCTGCTGCAGGCCTCCTTGTAATGTCAATTAGCCACTACCCGAATACCATCACCTGTGATGAGGCTCAGATAATCCTTCGAGTACCCGATTTGTCCCTACAACGGTTGGACTCAAACAAGAGCTATGCAGTAGGATCAAATCCGGCACTCTAAGATTATTCAACCCTGATCACATGTGATGTGACGTATTCGTCTAATGGTTAACTCCCATTATTCAGAGTCCCACATAGCACGAAGCAAGCAGCATTCAGACAAGGGTAACAATCTCAATCAACTCTATCTGCTTACAGGAACTGTACTAGCATACAATGCTAAGCTCATACCATCAGACATAACCTAATCAGGCTATCCTACTTGCTGTCTACTCAATACTAGCATGCAATTCTCATACAGCTGAGACACATAAAACAGGCACATAAGGTATCACTCCTAGATCCTTAGTCCTATTCTAGAATGTTGTTCTACAAAAGCTGATAAACATAACATAAACTTGTATGGGTATTTTGGGGAATACTTACTTGAGCTCGGCCGGTCGCGCACATCACACACTTTGTTCTTTCTCAAACTCTTTTCTTAATTTCTATAAAACATTTTCTTTTAGAAAATCTTTTAATCCCTCGATTTGAGTTCAGACACCCCCGAAGGTGTGTCCGAATCCGTCAAACCAACGCTCTGATACCAACTTGTAACACCCCAAAATTACCGGTTAAAAATTTCATTTTTAATTTAGGTTAAAACGTAAAACATCATTACAAAACATTCATGATAATAACCCATGTCTGAAAACCGGTGACATCATAATAAGAATTCAGAGTACATCCCAGAAAATCCATAGTGCGGAAAAACAAAAGCGTATGTGTGATATGCTGCTACCGCGCCGGCTCTTTTCCCTTAGCTGAAGAGGTGTATGAAACCAAAACTGAAAACCGTAAGCACGAAACTTAGCGAGCTCCCCCATAATACCTCATACCATGCAAGCATATAACATACAACATTCAACTAGGAGTTACGGGCCTCACCCACACTCATGAAGATACGGACCCTGCCTACACTTCGCTAGCCGGAAGATACGGGCCTCGCCCACATACTAATACCTGGGAGATACGGGCCTAGCCCACACTCCACTCTCGGAGAGATACGGGCCTTGCCCACACTCAACTGCTAAACCCATAACATACAGATATCACACAGACAACAAGTATAGACAACTCTATCATACTGACACATATATCATAATCAACTAACCCAAGAGATACGGGCTCGACCCACACTCTAGTGCTAACATCTCGTCTACACGGGTCGGCCTTGGTGCCGTAGACCCGTTCCTACTGGAAGGAAAACTCACCTCAGAGTAGTTGCTGATCTGTGTGGGAATAGTCTGTCTGCTGCTGTTGCTGCTCCGGAAATACTCCGGCTGTAATTCCCACCAAACACTTAGTCAAAATCCGCTAACTGTCCTTTTGGTAAAATGACCATTTTACCCCTGATCATGCCCTAAGTCAAAGTCAGAGTCAACTTCAAGTTGACCCGACTCGCCGAGTTGGCTCGCCAACTCATCGAGTCCATGTCCAAACGACTGACCTGGATTCTATTTCTACTCGTCGAGTTAGGCATTGACTCGACGAGTTCTCCATCCAAACTGATGTTCAAGTCCTTCATCCTACTCGCCGAGTTGTATGAACAACTCGGCGAGTTCATCTTCATCCGATGAACACTTATGCTGCGACTCACCGAGTTGTATGAACAACTCGCCGAGTCTGATCTTGATCTAAGGAGATTGCCTTGAACTCGCCGAGTCTGGGCATCGACTCGCCGAGTTACATTATGGGTGAGTTTTGGCTTCCAACTCACCGAGTCCACCCTGGACTCACTACACAACTTGACACAGCTAAAAGGGGACAATCTCGGAGACTCGCGACTAGACTCACCGAGTCTGCTTCATGCAAGAGCCATATACGCGATTTTGCTCGAATCTAGTCCATGTCATTCATAGATCTGGGTTCCTAGGGCATGAATAACACGTAAAGTTTCCAACTTTACGTGTAGATATTTATCCATGAGGTTTTTAGGGTTCAAAATGCACTAAAAGAGTAGATCTAAGGTCTTCATGCAACATGGGTCAATAAAGGTAGTAGATCTGAGCTCCTGGAGCTCAACCAAGCCTAGATCTAGAGGCCAATCAACTTATTACGAAATATGATGCACATACAAGCTTGGGGAAGGGCTCAAGGAAGACTTTAATGGAGTTATAAGCATATAGACAGGGGGCAAAACGAGTTTTACCTCAAGGAAATCACTGAGAGGACACTAAGATGCTTGACTTCCTTCCCTTCCTCTTGATCTACTACACTTCCTTCTCAAAATCTTCAAGAACACACACTAAAATGCCTCAAACTCACAAGAACAAGAGCTAGAACGTATGGAGAGCTTCTCGGGGTGAATGGGGCGGAGTTGGGGCGCAAATGGGTGTTTAAATAGGGTGCAAACCCTTGGAAATTAGGGTTTCATCAAACATCGCAGACTCGCCGAGTCCCTAATATGGACTCGTCGAGTCGCCATCTTATCCGCGCCCCAAAGTCTCGTCTCTACTCGGCGACTCGGGCCTCCAACTCGCCGAGTCCACGGCCAAAAAACACAATTTCTAAGGCAAAACCCACGTACCAGCAACCAGGTGCTACAGTTAGGGTTTAGGGTTTAGATTTAGCGTTTAGGGTTTATCTTTAGTGTTTAGGGTTTAAATTTAAGGTTTAGGTTTAGGTTTAGGGTTTAGTAATGTTCACTTGGATGAAGTAATAAACGATAATTGAGGAACGAAAACGGAGATGATAAAACGATAACGAAAGAAAGAAATGTTATGGAGAATGATATATTTACATGGTGAAACCAAACCGGGTATATTTAGCATGTTAAAACGACATATTTTAGAGGTTTAGTACCTAAGTTTAGGTGGTGCTGTAATGTATATTCACTATTCCCATATATATATATATATAGAGTCAAGATCAAATAAGAAGGAAATTTTTGGTAGGAAGGTAAGAAGTTTTTTTTCTACATATTTTTTTCGCGAACAAACAAAATGAATCATTAGATGATTCATTTGTAAGATGATTCACAAGAAAAAATTCTCAAAAAAACATCTTGACGATTCATTTATACAATAATTTTGTTGTTATTCATTAAAATTATCATAAAAATGAATTTTTTCTTAATTTACTTAAAAATGAATCATAAAGATGTTTTTTTGGGAATTTTTTATTGTGAATCATCTTATAAATGAATCATCTAGTGATTCATTTATTTTGTTCGTCAAAAAAATATGTAGAAAAAAAACTTCTTACCTTCCTACAAAATATATATATATATATATATATATATATATATATATATATATATATATATATATATATATATATATCAAATTTAAACCAAACACATACTCATTGAGTCAATTGTACCAACAAACACATAGTAAATTCATACACAAATACATATTTATTTAAATCAAATACAAGCACATTAAATACATTATATAAAATATTAAAAATAAAACTTATACCTTTACACTTAAAATGAAAGCACATTTGTGGTTAATTCTAAATTATATTTTGTACAAATGAACACTCAAAGAGGAAATACATTCTTGCACTTCACTATACTTTCTCCCCACGTTTTTTTTGACCTGCATACACAGCTCACACACAGGTATGAGGAAAGATTACTTCTACTCATCAACTACTGATTCACAAACAATCAAACAACCATTAAACTTTTGAGCATAAAAATTGGTCAGATTCAAAGAAAAATTATGGAAGTCTTCCTGTTTCCTTTTTTTTTTTTTTTTTTGTCAATCACCGTTTTCACCTCGTGTTGAATCTTAAACCCAACAAACACCAAAAACCCATCTAAACCTATTATTGATTAAACATTTACAGTCTAAAGAAGGAAAAGAAGAAGAGCAACAGAGGCTGCCAGAGCAGACCCCCCATCCAATTACCTTCAACCACCAAGACCCCATTTGATTTCGTGTTCATACCTGTCAAACGACCCACCCGAAACACCCCAATGATTTCTATCAAAAAATTAAAACAAAAGGGGAATAGAAAGAAATCGGGACTGCTGAAGCAGCCCCGTTTGTTACCTGCAGTCGCCTGAGGGAGGCAGTCCGTCTCCATCTTGCTCATCGAGCACCACAGCCGAGCCTCATATGCTTCCATTTTCCTCTTCTTTACTCGACAAATCTGCCAGCCCCTGCATCAATTTTTCTATTTCCTCGTGTTCCTTCCTCTTTAGCTCGATCAGATGAACACAAAGAATCTTTCCCAACAATTGCGGCATGCTTGGTTAGATATCGTCGAACCCCTCACCCCTTCTTGCGATTTGCCAGCCACTACGACCCATCGACCCACAATGTCACCAGTCGATCCTCCTTCGCACCTAGCAGCCGGATGGGCGCATCCTCGTTGCTTCAACCACCTTCCTCTCTGGCCTCGTTGAACCCCCGAAGACCATATCGACTTGCGAGGCGATAGACGAACTTCAGTGCCTTCCTTGGATCAGGAAAGAAACCGAAGACCACAGCAGCTTCGCTGCTTCCCCCGTTCGGCCTCGTCAAACGCCGGAGACCCCTTCCTCTTCGGCATCAACGACCACCGATGACGCTCCCTTTTCCTAAAACTGATCATCAATCGTCGGACCGATGCTACTGGCCTTCGTGTTTCTTTTGGCACATTCGCCGTTCCTCTAATATCACCCGATCAAAACAAGAAAAGGGATAAAAGCCCTAATACTTTTTTTATAAATGGATCCACTTGTCTGGATTGGTCATGGAGCTTCGTTAAGAAAATGGGTTTTGATTTTGACCCGGTCAAAGGTTAAAGAAAAAACCAAACTTTCATTAAAATTAAACTAGCCGTTTACCCGCGCTAAGCGACGGGTGCGAATAAATTCTTTCAGAAATTAGTTCTTAGAGGCGATTACTATTCTTGCGCAAATAGGTTCCTACATTTAAACAATTATCAATAAAAGTAATGTTAGCAAACTCAAAATCAATAAGAATGAAAAATAAAAAGTTGGGATTATGTACAAATGTACATGAACATATGATTGATTGTGCATTATTAATTGTCCAACACTTATTTATACGCCACATTTGATATATAGAATTCACCGTCGTTATTAATCGTGCTAAGCAACGGGTGATGAATACTTTGTTTCGTGAATTAGTTTTTTTTATCAGCAATGTTTATTTGAAATCTGAAATTTGATGATGGAAATGTATCTTTTAGTTTGGTAGAAAATATATTTAATGTGAGACGGAGTCGGATGGCGAATACAGTGGCGTTGATAGTATCGTTTCGGGAAATTGTTTTTTTTCGCGATTGTCTTGTTTTAGGGGTGGACACTTTAGGTTCTAAAAGTGTGGAAAAAATGCAAGAAATGGCAACGAAGTTTATATGCTTTTTTTTATAGCATCTTAATTATGATTATACTGCATGACTAAAATTGAAATTAAAGTTCAATTAAAAAAAAAAAAACGAAAACATATTTAAAAAAGTTTAAAGTCAAGTAATTAAAATATGATGTTATATTACACAAAAAATGTATGTAAATTGCTACTTCTTACATTTAGCCAATCAGGGCATTGCACTTTAAACATGGACCAAAATCACAGTAGTGTTGGTAGTAAGTAAGTGCATTGTTATTCAAACAATCCTTCTTTCAAAAGCCCCTCCAATACCTACATAAATAACGGTTTACACATGTTTGGTTATTCTGAAAACCAATTTTTTTTTTAAAAAAAAAAGCATGTTATACTAAAATCGGATTCGGTTATAATCAGTTCGGTTTGTTAAGAAGTGAAATTAGGTCAAAAAATATGTTTTTCTTGGTTAAAGGAATCGGGTTTTTTAGAAAAACTGGAAAAAAAAAGTTTCAATTTTTTGAAAAACCTATATTAAACCGCTAGTTAGGATTTAACTGGAACAGTTTAAAAAACGGGTATAGAAAACACATATTTCGGTTTTTTGGGCTATAACGGTTACAGGAAAAAAAAAAGAATTCTTTTTTTCACCTCTTCATATGCATGATATAATGCTCTGCACCATAAATAATAAAATATAAGCCCATAAATAATAATTGTGGAAAATAATAGTAAAAAAAACCTATTTTGTTATGAACTCATGAGTGTTATTGTATGAGTTCTTAGAGATAGATATTGAACGCATAATTTGTTACGGGTAGAAAATTATAAAATAATTATATATTATGTTATAAGACTTTCATATCGTTATAAAGTCCTTTTGTTCATTTTTAACTCATCTAAATGAAAAAAAAATGCTCAAATTTACCAAAAAGTGAAACAATCATTTCTTGTATATTTACTTAACCATGAGCCTTAACAGGGGGTAAAATAGTCAATAAACCAAATAAACATCAATTTTTATTGTATTTTGTGATATTCTTACTTTGTTCAGGGGTGTCATACTTCTTGTTCATGCCATCTGAATCAAAAAAGTGCATGTTACTTGTAACTCCTGCTTCTCTAGTTTCAGGAGTTGGCTTCTCAAGCACTCTGTTATACGCCTGTAACACGCATCACAAAATGCTATGTAAATAATGCTAACATGTCATGTCACATAAAATTTAAAGTTTATAACATAAAAAATTATAAAGCTTTTGGCAGTATTTCTTTAAACGTTCTTTCAGCTTCAGTTGTTGATCCACTTTAGACAGCTCAAGGAAAGACTTTGATTTGAATCCATCAACAACAACTTTGGATTGAATTTGCCTCTTCAAATGATAGTAATCACTAATACTCAAATTTAAAATCAATAAATAACTGTTAGTAAATTAAGTTACAATAGAGGGGTAAATTCGTAAGTAAGGTACCTTCTCTTTGCTGTTTATGTCTCTCCATGCCACTTCCATTCAAGTTTCCTAAGACAAGTTTTCCTAGGGTGATTGAAATCACATGCAATGTAGTGGGACACAAATCGTCCTTAAAAACCAAAATTGAAACCGGTGCATTAGACCAAATGGAGAATATGTATATTGTTATTGATAAGTAAATTCATCTCTTATCTATGGATATACAATTGTATTAGAAGTTTAATATATATTTGAAAGTTAATATTTGATTTTACGATACAAAAGTTACAACAATCGTCAATCATACAACTTTTTTCATTTAGAACATGATACATAAAAGTTGATGCATCTATATATTGGTAGCCATGCATTAAACATCAAATGATTATAAAAAATATCATAATAAATAGCATATACAAAAATCAGAATAAAAATCATAGCAATTTTGAAAAAATGCATTAAACATCAAATGATTATTAAAAAACAATCAGCAACAAGAAATCACCGGTTCTTTCAACTTGAGCCTCAACCCAATTATGCCATCAAAATTGTGTCACCTCAAAAAAAAAAAAAGGAATTGTCATAAATCTAAGTAGCCCCTTAATAAAAACTGTTAAAAGAGGTTTTATTCCTAGTTTATTTAGGGTTTGCTGTATATGCATAATGAAATTCACACAATGTGGTGATATTTTACATCAAAAATATAAAATTAAAGAAAAAAAAATCTTATGAACCAAAATCATTGCATTTAGTATCTTGTAATGATTATTAAAGACAAACTACATGATTTAACTTACTTTTGTGACTATATGACCAATTTGGGAATGGACGTTGTGGTGATCTTGTAGCAAATAGCCCCTTTTTTCACCTCTCAATCTTGTCTTACCTGCAACATTGTTAGATGTAGATTTTAAAATGATAAAAAGATTGAGAGAATTAGAACAAGACATCTGATGGATGTTTCCATAAGTTATCAAGATTTATATTAAGATAAAAAAATATATGTGATCCAAAAAAGGAAATACTCTTCAAGGCCTTCAGGAGAAGATGGTGGGAACCACGATGTATCACATTTGTCACTTTAAAGTAACCTTCAAATTCAGCTTTTGGTGTATGTTCCAAATCTTCTATATCTTCACCAACACACTCTAAGAAAACATTAAGAGTGAATATCATATATCAAAAAAGTAAAAAAATCAGAAAGTCAATAGCATGGAGATGTACAGTACACTTAAAGCTTAATAAGTTAAGATGTAATCCAATCGGTGAATCTTGTATCTTCTGGGGCAAATGTAGAGCCAACATCAAAGGCTAATTTGGCAGTCTGATATTATTCAAGACTGAAACATGATGTCCTGTAAAACATGAATACTCTAAAACTAATAGAATCAACACATGCCAGAGTTTCTAAATACATTTTTGAAAAGATAACAAAAATATACAGACCCCCATTAACCAAGAAATTGAGGAAATGAAAGATCTTCTGAGTAGTCCAACCATATTCTGACACTCTTACTTGGATCCGAATTGATTGTACCTACACCCATCCGAAATCATGCCTGATCAGTAACTTTATAACTATAATCAAGTATGCAAAAACGAAATCATGTCATGAATCCAAATGGAAAGTTTATAGTAATATCCAAGCTATATAACATACACATAATGGCCAGACAAAAGAAACCCAAGGAAGTTATTATAGAAAATTAAGTCTACAGGGGTATTTTTGGCATTTCTCTCTGAAATTAACGGTTTGGAAAATGCAACAATATTTATGAACTATTTCATTAGCCTCATGAAATGTTGTGATTTTGATATTAAATCAACACAAGATGAGATTGCATTGCAGGCGTGAAGCAAAAAAAAAAGAATAAGAAAAAAAATTATACCTATTTGTGAGATTGTTGCACCTATGGCGATCCTGTTGTTTGTCTGAACTAATCCTAAACATAGCAAGTATATATATATGAAACCAACTTAATGTTTGATATAAGTAATTCGGCAAAATAAAAGTTTACCTGCCAACAGGCTTCTACTGTTCAGATCTTTGCTAAATGAACCAGAGATAAATCGTAATTGTGAAAGATTGAACTCATATGGATCTGTAACAACAGGCATCCATACGTTTATACTTACCTGCCTATGTTGAATGGATTTCATACCAAAAAAGAAAAGGAGTGATAGTAATGAAGACTGGAGTATTGAACCTTAAATAACCTTGGTCATTGTTCCCCCTTCATCATTGATTGGGATTTAGTCGATGATATGAGAGCTCCTACCATCACCCCATTCCCTTGATTAGGGAAAGAGTAAGTATGCGAGAGGCGGAGCAGGTTTTGAAACACGGAAAAGTCAAAACGGAAGAATACGTATAGATGAAGGCGATGAAATGGTGTAGGTGAGAAAAGCTGATTTTTGAGAAATATGTGACATGATTACAGAAATAGGTGTTACAAATATGCATTTACTGAATTACTTGAGAAAAAATTCAGTCCGATATAAAGAGAAGTGAAAAAAATTGCTTAGCAGAGAAACATAAAGATTTATTCTTGAATCATGAGTGGTGAATGTCGGGTGAACTGAGATACGGAAAAGTGCGACTCCAGTGTTTACCTTGCAAAGCAGTCGCACGCTGGTAGGTTGCAGACTTCGAACGTCATCGGCTATCTATCGAAAGAATCGTCTGGACAAGGCCTGAATCGAACATACCCGGCCCCATGGACGACTTTCAATCGGTGTATATTATATACATTAGGGATCAATAGGAGGAGAGATTAACAGAATTTAGGGAAATTGTACAGAAATCTTGGAAGTTCTAAACCCAGAGAAACAACAGCCCTCGTCGATTCGAATCTGGAGCATCCTATGAAGAAATGGAGGCGAGATTGTGGCCATGTGGTGGCAGTGAGTAATGCTAGCTTTGGTAAAAATCAGTGTAAGAGAGTTTCGAATTAGCGAGAAAAAACCCTAATCTTCAGCTTCGCTTTGAGGTGGAGAATCGGTTTCTGGTATGAAGGGAGCTTCCGTAGGGCAAGGATGCGATTTGGTTTGACGGCAGCTGTTATTTGTTTGTAGAGGAGATTAGGGTAACACAAAAGGTAATACCGTGCATTAGGTATATAAGCTTAAGATTATTGTACATTAGCTAATAACTATTATACCTCTTAATTTTCAAGAAAGAGGTAATATGTTTAATAATATAGTAAAGATATAATTGGCCACTCCCCGGAAAAACCTAATAAATTAAGTCCTAAAACTCTAAAATAGTTTCAAATGCACATGGTTAACCCCTGTCTTGAGAATAATTCACAACATCAGTTCCTGAAGTATGATTTTTGCAAAATCAAACCCTAAATTTTATTTATTTTAAGAAAGACAACCATATACTTAATAATTGATTCCAAAACTATCCATTTGGTTTATTAGGTAATATAAATATACTTTGTGGTTCACTTTAAGAGCAAGGAATGTCACATAACAACTTTCACGACATGTTTCACACCACGAGCCCTGTTCATGCTATGAAAATGAGTGCTTACGGCCCCTTTTTAATATTTTACTTATTTCAGAGAGGATGGGGAGTACATGTGCCTAAATATTTTGTTTATACAAATCAATTTTCTTTTTATGCGAAAATATAATAAATCTAGTTTACAAAAATATTATTATTTAACAATTTAGCATACTCTTACAAATAAGCTAGTATAAACATTTCATATACGTATTATGGTTATATTATCATGAAATAGCGAGTTCACACAACAAATACTACATGTTACAAAATTATATGATTTTTATGTGATATTGCAAATTATAACTAGCACGTTATCAAACTCTGTAGTATTTCAAGGATTCAAGATATTACTAAGCATGTTTATTTATATGTTTAAACGCATAAAGTTTATACATGTACATATGTTCATTATTTTCAAACATACATCTTTATAAAGCAAGACATTACACTTTTAGATACATGTCAAACATACTCGACTTTTATAAACTTTATACAAAGACATTACACTTTTACTACAACCATGGGTTTGGTTGCGTTCAAAACTATTTTTAAGTATGGAATTACTTATGTAACATAATAGTTTGGTTTTCAAGGATATTCTAAGATTTATCACGGACACAATTTAAAGTATGGATTTACTTATACAAAAGATATATTTTCGCTTTCAAGGGTTTATTACCAACATAATTTAGAGTATGGATTTACTTATACAAAAGATACATTTTTGCTTTCAAGGATTTATCACCAACACAGTTTAAAATATGGATTTACTTATACGGAAATACATTTTGGTCTTTTAAAGACTCATTGCAAACACTGTTTCAACTATTGTTATTCGTACAAAGATAATTTTTTTTTTAAACTTTTGAAAAGTATTACTGCTATTAGCAGAAAATGTGTAACACTTACCAACTTCATGTTGACTCTCAAAACTACATGTATTCTTAGAAAATCACTAAACAAACTTTCAAGATGGATTGGATTACACATGACCTAGTTTACTTGTTGTTGTATTATATTTCTATCTGTTAAAGCAATTCATGTATTATTATTATTTGAAAAAAACTTGTATTCAAACATCAAGGTGGAATATGAATGTTATATTGTTTATTGTTGTACTTGTGCTATATATTCAGTTTCCTGTGATCCACGAAATTAGTCACACAACCCGACATGTTTCGCCACCTTGGCCGAGGGTGTATTATATTTCTATCTGTTAAAGCAATTCATGTATTATTATTATTTGAAAAAAACTTGTATTCAAACATCAAGGTGGAATATGAATGTTATATTGTTTATTGTTGTACTTGTGCTATATATTCAGTTTCCTGTGATCCACGAAATTAGTCACACAACCCGACATGTTTCGCCACCTTGGCCGAGGGTGTGACAAATTGGTATCATAGCTAAATTGGTATAGTGAACTCGTATCCTCGAAAGAGGAATACAACTATAAAAACTAGCTTCTAATAAAAGTATTATTAATATTAATTACATTACTTCTTGGCTACTTACAGTACGGAGAATCTAGTTTGAAATGTCGCTTGGGCTGTTGGATTTCAGAATGGCTTAATTACTATAATATTCCCGCTCTCCGGTGTTTCCCGTCGGGCCCTCGTTTGTACTCGGTAGTCTTGGAGTACAAAACGAAACTTAATAATATTGCACCAACCATAATATATAAGAGATATATACTCTCACCCATGATGAGAACAGTTAATAAAATTCTAACATGCCTCAAACTAAAAGTACGAACTTAACCCTCTAGGTTAAACGCCTCAATTAAGGTTAGTACTGTACAGACGTCATACCATAAATAAACCTGGAACGTACATCTATGTTATTTATGGTTGGGCCAGTGAACAACCAGCCTCGAGCAAGGAGTTTGACACACTACAATGGTTGAAGTTTTAGAGATTGAAGGATGTTCTCAGGATTCATTGTAGAAATCTAGTACCTTAGAAACCTTATATCAACCCCAAAATTGATGGGTTTTATGCATAAGAACAATCCTATGTGCTCATACAAACCCTAATGCTTAGATCTAGGTTTCTCTATTGTACATGCAATGGATCCAAGACTTACAACCCTAGATCTAACATGTATAATTCGAAATTATCATTATAAGAACAGATCTAAGGTTTTACCTCTTTCAAATTGCTTCGAATCCTTCGAATCTTCTTGATCTTGAGCTTAGAGTCGCAATTGTAACTCCTCTAATGGTTCACAAACCCTACAAGCTAGAAGGCTATTAAGATAGAGGAGGAACAACACTAAAAATCGGCCCTATGGATTCTTTTGGAGTCAAGCATCCGAAAATTGCATCCAGGGGTCTCTATTTATAGTGTAGGCTACTAGGGTTTCATTCTAAACCCTAATGGACAACTTAGTCACCATGCAGCGCATAGAACTGTTGGAATAATGTATAAGTCTGCAACTATATTAGGCAAGTATTTGACCCGATTGTGCATGGTCCTTTTGGGTTGCCTTCACCATAGCAACTTAACAGGGTGATTTATTATGAGAAAATAGATATTATTAATATATTATGAGAATAACATAAGGAATAATAATATTGTTATTTGATTAATATAAGTCATAAATTAATTAGCATTAATTTGGTGACTTAAAGAGATTAATTAAATAAGAGGGTATAAACTATCAATTGTTTGATAGTTACACTTTGGGCTGTAAATCCTTAAGGGATGAGGGTTGGAAGATTTCTAGGGCTAGGATAAGCCTCAATTCGTCCAAGGCCTATCTAAGGTAAGGATTAGGATTGCTTAGAGTTTAAGTTATCCAATTAGGGTTTAAGGGTGAAACCCTACGAGCCTTACAAGTATAAATAGACCCCTTGGGGTAGGGAAATCGACACCTCTTGAAAAGCAAGGAAACCCTGGCCGATTTCCTCCTCTCTCCTCTCTCTCAAATCATTCTCTTGGCTAGTTGGTGTTTGTAAGCCATTAGAGTAGTGACATTTGTGACTTTAAAGCTCCAAGAACAAGAAGATCAAACAAGTGTTTCAAGGTAAGCTTCTAACTCTGGTTTTGTATTGTTCTTATAGCTAATTAGCCATTAGAAGTCTTGGATTCAATGCATGTTTAATTAGAGAAACCTAGATCCAAGCATTAGGGTTTGTATGTGCACATAGGAATGTTCATATGACCAAAACTTATCAGTGGTATCAGAGCCTAGATTGGTTTCTATTAAATTGTTGCTTGATTGTTTGAATCTTACCTGCAAAATTCGAATTTTGTGTTTCTGAGTCATGGACTCGGCGAGTCCCATAGTGGACTCGGCGAGTTGGCCTAACTCGGCGAGTCCGAGCGTCAGGAAGAGCCAAAATCGGGATTTTTTCATATTTATCTTATGGAAACTTACCTTTATCATATTAGATCAACCCAAATTTGATTTTATGATATATATGACTATATATTTGATCTAATTGAAGATATTTATCAATTAATAAAATATTTCATTTCCTTATATGATAATTATTAATTATTTTGATTAAATTGGTAAATTGTTTTTCAAGAAATCATAAATAAATCAAATATTGATAATTATGTGATTAATTGTTAATTTAATATTATTTGTTATTTGA